AAAGGAATAAACCAGAGATATACTTAATAACATGGATGAATTGCAAAATGATTATGGTGAGCAAACGAAGCCAGATCCAAAGAGTATGTAAAGTTTTATTCCATTTATAAAACCCTACTAAAAGCACAAATCTAATCAAGAGTGACAAAAGCATGTCAGTGGTTGCCTGGGGCTGTGTGTACTGACTACAAGGGCATGAGGAAGCATTCTGTGTGAAGGAATGTTATATATCACGATAGGGGTGGTGGTTATACTGGCGTATAGCCTGATCAAAACTCATCAAACTGCCCACTTAAAATACACTTCATTCTGTACACATTTTATGAAAATCCATAATCAAATGGATTTGAAAGAAGAATGCTAAGTGACAGTGACCATAAAGTCAGATTATGGGAGAGAGGCACAAGGCCATGGGAAGGTGGAGAGCAGTGAGGAATCGGAAGGTGATACTTACAAAGGCAATGGGAGGTGAGGCTGGTTGTAGAAGAGTTTGTTGGTACCTTAGAGTGAGAAGATGAGAAAGAAAGAAAGAATAAGTACAAGAGTGCTAGGAAGAACAGAAGCGAGGCAACCAACTGATTTTCAAAAAGTCAATTCCAGTAAAACTGAAATGTAAGTGATAAGAATCTAAGACTCTGGGGTGTGGTTTAAGGAATTATGCATAAAAATGGATGGAAGGAAAGAATATCTAAGGAAGCAAGACGTCTAGTGAGGAGCCTGGCATACGATCCAGAGTATAGGAACTGAGGCAATTCTCCTGGAAGAAAGCCAAACAAAGAACACAGGTGGTAACAGTAAGAGATATAAAGGTACAGAACAATTTGGCACCCAAGAGGCCAATGCTACCTATCCTCAAGCAATTTCTAAAGTTGCCGACCTTTAAGCAATAACAGCATTTTAAAGGTATCAGTCTTCCTTAGGAAAAAAAATTACTTCATGTCCCCATCTGCCCAAGTCACATCCACTCACCTGAACAGCTGTGACGTGGAGTTTCCCCTTCCAAGGTCCATGGCCCCTCTCCTTGCTCCAACTTGAAGATGACCTCTGGTTTGGGAACTTCGAACCCTGTTAACAGGACATGATAGAGAATTGGGTCCAGCAAATTGCTTTCCATTTGTTCTTTGGAGAAGTAACCACATTCATTAGGAACTGAGTAATAATCACAGCAGTGAAAAGGGACTGAAGAATCTCAGACAAATCAAGGGAGACACCTTCACACAGTTCAGATGTCCCAGATAGCTCAGTGGTGGTGACAGGAAACACCCTCAACGAGGCTCTGTATTGGTGTCCTAAGGCTGCCATGACACAGTACAAAACCTGTGGCTTACAACAACAGAAATGTATGTCTCTTATGTTTAGAGGTTAGAAATCAAGGTGCCAGCAGGCTCTTCCTGATGGATCTAGGAGATCCTTTTCTAGCATCTTCTAGCTTCTAGTGTTTTCTGGCACTCTTTGGCTTTCCTTGGCCTTTGAATACATTACTCCAGTGACATGGCTGTCTTCTACCTGGGTATCTCTCATTGTCTTCCCTCTATGCATGCTTGTAGCAGTAATAACCCAATTTCTGCCTTCATCTTCATATGGTGTTCTCCTGTGCACATCTCTGTGTTCAACTTTCCCCTTTTTATAAGGACATCAGTTAGATTAGATTGGGGCCCAGCCTAATGACCTCACTTTAACTTGATTACTTCTGTAAAGACTCTAATTCCAAATACAGCCACGTTCTGAAGTATTGAGGGGTAGGATTTTCCACATAGCTTTTGGAGAAGACAAATTGTACCCATAAAAGTCTACCCTCTAGTCCCCCAAAATTCATGTTCCTTCTCACATACAAAATACATTCACCCCATCCCAACATCCTCCAAAGCCTTAATCATTCCAACATCAACTCTTAAGTCAAAATCACATCTCGACATCATCAACTAAAAGTCTCAAATCTCATCATCTAATTCATCCAAATCAGTATGGATGAGACAGGGTATAATTCATCCTGGGGAAAATTTCCTCTCTATCTGTGAACCTATGAAACCAGACCACAAGTTATCTGCTTCAAAATACAATGGTGGGGCAGGCATAGGATAGATATTCCATTCCAAAAGGGAGAAACCAGAATGAAAAGAGATCATGGGTCCCAAGTCTGAAGGCTAGCAGGGAAAATTTGATGAGATTCTAAGGCTTGTGAATAATCTCATGAGCTCCATGATCTGTCCTCTGAGCCCACTGGGTGGCAGGCAGCCCTGGGCCAGGAATGACACCCCTCACTATTACCCCTAATGGTCCACTAGCAAAATGTTTGCTATTTGTCTCTGTGACCTTATGCTCTGTCATTCTAGAGGTCTGAATTCCAAAGGGAGAAATGCTTCCACCAGGAGACACACAATGATTCCACTGAACTAGAAGTTAAAACTCCCACCCACCACTTTGGGTCCCTCATGCCGCTGAATCAACTGGCAAATGAGGGAGCTACGGTTTTGGCTGGAGTAACTGATCATGATTACCAAGGCAAACCTTTGCCTTGCCCAATTTAGTAAGATTCCTGTCAATCAGTTTAGCTAGAATCCCCTAATCTCAATATCCAATCACCCTCGATATCTGATCAAATGCTTATCCTCTACTATCCCCCACATAATATTTGATCACCCTCGCCTGCCTTCAGCAAGAATCTTGTTAGGGGTCAGTTTAGTAACAATCCCCGTTTTCCCCTGATGTTTTCTCTTAGTCATTTTCTATCTACTGGCCCCACTGTGCTCCCGGGTTATATTTATAAATACCTACTTGTCCATGTTGTATTTGCAACTGAGCCCAGTTCTATACAGAGATAGCTTTTCCCCTATTGTAATAGTTCTGAATCAAATCTGGTTTCACTGCTTTAACTACTGGCCAGCTCTGCTTTTCTTGACAGTTTTGATGTCACAACTCAGATAAGATCCACAACTCAGGTAAGATCAGATTGATCACTGGTCCCCAGACTTCTCACCTCTCAAGTATGCACCTTTGAACTTTGTCCTTGACTGATTGGGGGACCCATTGATGAGTCTGACTCCTGAGCCAGTCCTCTGGGTGACAGTCCACTGAGGCAAAGTAAGGACAGATTTTGATTCTTTTTTTTTTTTTTTGAGACAGAGTCTCACTCTGTCTCCCAGGCTGGAGTGCAGTGGTACCATCTCGGCTCACTGCAACTTTCCCTCCTGGGTTCAAGTGACTTTTATGCTAGAAGGTAGGTGAGGGTTCCAGGTAAGCAGCTGTTTATAAGAAGCTAAGTTAGAGTCCCATGCAAGGAAAGGCTGGGTTAGTTTCCTAGGCTTCTCTCTTTGTAAGAGGCTGGGTTCTGTAAGGAACAGAAGCTGGGTACAGTCTCAAGTTTCTCTATTTATAAGTATAAAAGTACTATTAGTTAAAAAACATGGGAACTTCTCAGTCTAAGCCAAAACACTCCTTTTCCTGAACCCCTGCTGGCTATATGCTCCACCAACTCTACCTGTTTCCTGTCATGTTGCATGATTTTACTAAGGATAATTGGAACTTCAAAGGCTTCCTTGGGAAACTTTACCTCTCCCCAAACAGTCTCCTCCAAGACCTCTCCCTTCCCATTGCTTCTGCTCCTCCTTCTTCCTTTTGCCACCTTTGATCTTTCCTTTAGGCGCTCTTGATATTAAGCAGCCCTTCAATCACTTCCCAGGCTTGAGCCTTTTTGCAGACTCAGATCCAGAACCTCGCAAATGAAGGGGAAACCAAGTTTCCTTAGGGAAAGACCCTGGTACACTGCCAAAAACTTTATACTCTTAAATCTTTCTCCTAGTGTTCCCCAAAGGGACCTGTGGACTTTTATCAAGATAACTATGTATTGGGAAAAAGGAATAATTAGACATTTTGGAATTACGGGACACTGACTCTGAACTGCCACTAATTTCAGGAGACCACAAACACCACTATGGTCCACCAGTAGTAGGAGCTTATGAAGTGTAGTGGTTAACGGAGTTTTAGTTGAGGTACATCTCACAGTGTGTCCAGTGGGGTCCCTGAACCTATCCTGTGGCTATTTCCCCAGTTTCTGAATACATAATTTGGAAGGAACACATTCAGCAACTGGCAGAATCCCCACATTCATTCTCTGACCTGTGGAATGAGGGCTACTGTGGTGGGAAGGCCAAGTGGAAGTCACGGGAGCTGCCTCTACCTAGGAAAATAGTAAACCAAAAGCAATACTGCATTCCTTGAGGGACTGTGGAAATCAGTGCTACCATCAGGGATATGAGGGATGCAGAGATGGTGATTCCCACTACATCCTCATTCACCTTGCCTATTTGACCTGTGCAGAAAACAGAATTCTGAAGAATGACAGATTACTGTAAACATCACCAAGTGGTAACTCTAATTACACTTGCGCTTCAAAATGTGGTTTTCATTGCTTGAGCAAATTAACACATTCATTCCCTGGTACCCAGTATGCAGCTATTCATCTAACAAATGGTGTGTGTGTGTGTGTGTGTGTGTGTTTGAGAGAGAGAGAGAGAGATACTTGTTAGTAAGACTGCTAGAAGCAGTTTGTTTTCCTGTACTTTCCTACCTCAGGGGTATATCAACTCTCCAGACTTAGGTAATCATTTAGTCTGCAGTCATCTTGATCACCTTCCCTTCCACAAGATATCACACTGGTTCATGACATTAATGAGATAATGCTGATTGGACCTAGTGAGCAAGAATCAGCAACTACACTAGACTTATGGGTAAGATATTTACATATTAGAGGGGGAAATAAATCTGAAAAATTTTAAGGCCTTACACCTCAGGGAAATTTCTAGAGGTCCAGTGGTATAGAGCATGTCCATACATCCCTTCTAAGACAAAGCACAAGTTATTGTACCTGGCCCCTCCTATAAGTGGGAAAAAAAAGGCACAATGCCTACTGGGCCTCTTTGGATTTCGGAGGTAACAACACTCCTCATGTGGGTAATGCTACTCGGCTCATTTACCAAGTTATTAAAAAAGTAGCTAGTTTTCAGTGGGGCCCAGAACAAGAAAGACTCTACAACAGATCCAGGCTGCTGTGCAAGCTGTTCTGCCACCTGGGTCATATGATCCAGCAGATCCAATGGTGCTTGAAGTGACAGTGCAGATGCTGTTTGGAGCCTCTGGACAATCCCCTATAGGTGAATTGCAGTGCAGATCTTTAGGATTTGGAAGTGAAGGTCCTGCCATACTCTAGTAGTAGATAACTACTCTCCTTTGGAGAAATACTTTTGGCTTGCTATTGGGCCAGAATTTACTCACCCACTGAATTTAAGCATATAAGTTAGTGGAGAAGAAACTGAACAAGGATTCCCTCAGTAACAGCAAGTGAATATGGAAGAGCCCAGTGCTGAACCTCTGGCCCACGGTGGGGTGGTGGAAATCTGGCATAGAGAAGACCCACTCCCCACTGTTGCTTATAGCACCCAAGTTCTTCTATTGAAGCCTAGTCTGTTGACCGGTATGAGGCCAGCAGCCGGCTCTGGTGCACTGGGCCTGGGTGTTATTGGGATCATGTTGCTTGAGAATGTGCCCAAAGTGGTAGTAAACTCCATCTAGGCTAAATACCTGCACAAAATTGATAGTCAACAAGAACCATAAGGGAAAGTTAAAAAGAGCTTTGAAGACAAACTTCAAGAGCTTGTGAAACTGTTAAAAAGTGTGATATGGTTTGGATCTGTGTCCCCTATAAATCTCATGTCAAATTGTAATCCCCAATGTTGGAGATGGGGCCTGGTGGGAAGTGACTGGATCATGGGGTGGATTTCTCATGAATGCTTTAGCACCATCCCCTTGGTGCTGTTCTCATGATAGTGAGTGAGTTTTCATGAGATCTGGTTGTTTAAAGGTGTGCAGCCTTTCTCCCTGCTCACTCTTGCTCTTGCTCCCACCATGTAATATGCTTGCTTCCCCTTTGCTTTCCGCCATAATTGAAGCTTCCTGAGGCCTCCCCAGAAGCAGGAGCCGCTATGCTTCCTTTACAGCTTGCAGAACCATGAGGCAATTAAACCTCTTTTCTTTATAAACTACCCAGTCTCAGGTATTTCTTTATAGCA